CGAACGCGGCCTCTGCCCGCGAGTCCCCGTCCTGCCCGCGCTGCCCCACCTGGCACCTCTCCCCTGCCCTGCGCCCCTTTGCACAGGGTCGCGCTCCAAGGCCACCCCGGTGCTGTGGCCTCACGTCGCCCCAAAGGGCGTCCCTCACCCGACTCTCCAAACAGGCTATTCAACTTTCCCCTCACTTGACGTGTTTCTCAATGCTCTGGGACGCAATATGTGATTTCCCAAGGAAGCTCGGGTGAGACAGCCCCAGGACATGATCCCACTTGCCTTTGCCAGCCACGGGATCTAGGACAGGCACTGGCACCTTCCCTGCTGCCCTTTTGCCTGCTGCTTTCTGCACGTGAGCGCTTGGCAGTGGAGGGGCACGTTTGCCCTCTTGCATTTGCAGCTGCGCAGTGATAGAGATTTCCCCATCTATATTCTCTAATTTAATCTACGATATAAATTCAATTGATTATTCAGTAAACAAAAGGCAGATATATAGGATTTGTGTTCTTCCAGGGGCTGTGTTTGGGAGGGAGCGTGCTGGGGACCCCGGTCCCCGTTCGCCTCTCCCTGCTCTTCTCTCCCACAGCTGCCTCTGCTCGGCTGATTTGACCTGAGGCTGATTAGGGACTCAGGTGCCTGCGGGAGGAGGGAGCCTCGTTGTTCTGCTTTCTTAATTGAACCCTGTTTCCTGGAAACCTGTTTCACTTGTGAGAGCAGGACCCACGCACAGCCTTGATGTGCTGCTCTATCGATTTTTCTTGTGTTCAAGGGAAATTGCTGCAATAAATGGGCAATTAGATTTCCAGTAAGGGCCATCCTGGGCATGGAGACTTCTGCGCTTCCCATCAGGTTAGTGCAGTAGAGCCGTGCGGCTCTGACAACACCAGTATTTTTCTCTGATTAGTTGTCTTCTGGTAATGCAGCAAAACTAAAAATTGCTATGTTCAAGGGTGCTGGTTTTGCTGCGTGCTCTTGCTCTCATGGAAGTGGTGAATATGTTGTGACCATGGCAAAGACAGCGGTTACCGCGCTGGGGAATTCAGCACAAAGATGAGGCGCTTTGTGTTGAGTTCTGTTGCCCCGGGATAGGCTCTGGGCCGCTGGTGACGGGTCCTGCGGGGTGGGAGCGCGCAGAGCCCTTGCAGGGCCTGGCCAGATGCTGCTATGGGTAAGTCTCCACACTGGCTCTTTTCCTTAGCACGTTGGTCATCCCAGGATTTTGGAAGCCTCCGGGATAGCTCAGGGCACCAGAGTCCCTGATTTGTGCTGCTGTTTCCCGGTCGTAATGCAGAGCTGGGAAACCCTGAGCGGATTGGGGTGCCCCGCAGAGAGGGGAGCGCGTTTCCCGCGCACTTTGCAGCCCCCCGTGGGCTGGATCAACCATCCCTTTCCCCAGCGCTCAGGC